AGGGCAAGGTCACTGCAGGCTGTATATGGGATGGAACGAAATACTATGAATCGTTTAGGCCATCCTGGCTCCGTGCGCGTGCTGAGTATTGGGGGGATCCCGCGGGTACTCGTCAAGACCCTGTAAAATATCTGGAGGAGCCCGAGGGTTTTGAGGTTGGGAGCCCATCACAGCCCTCTTCCCCTCTTCGCGGAATCAGGATTACCAGCAGGGGATATATACAATGACGTTTTCGTTCAGGTTTACACGTTGTTCGAGTTTGATCAGTTTGCTATTCGCAACCCACAAGTCCCCCCGGGCTCGCACATTGATGATGGCACGATCCTCACGTTTGGTGAAGAAGAAAAATTATCCAGGATCTTGCTAGAGCCGCAGATGATATGAAGTATATCTTCCAACACCGACTGGGAGTGCAACTAGCTGCTGACAAGGCATCGACGTTTGCATCTTCTCAGCGTGTGGCTGCTCGCTTGGCCAAGAAGCTTGCCCGCTACTGCCCGTCGCTCGCCTGCAACTCGGCCATCCCGCTGGGCTCAGATTTAGCACCAGGACAGCATCGGGCACGTGCAGGAGGGCGCGCAAAAAGGAAGGCTCGGTTCAAAGATATGAGGACCCGTCATGGTTTTATTCGTTACCTCCGAAAGCAACTGCCCAGGGACCGATCTCGCATGAGCAAGATTTACATATGTGGGGTTAGGCCTGCCGCGGGCTATGGGTCCATGGCCCTGGGAATGTCCGATCAGGAACTCAATGATCTCAGGAGCGCGCTGCTTTCAGGTCTGCCGCCAGCGCACAGAGGTGCGTCGCTAACGGCAACAGATTGCATTCACGGAGATCCCGCATGGCTGCAGGCGACGGCGCCCGCCAGGCAATGGTCGACCCGTTTGTGGAGAAGTCTGACGACGCCGCCCACCAGCCCCTTTTCGTTCAGGGATCACATCAGGCTTTGGAGGAGCCTTGAGGCTCAGGGGCTACGTTTGGGGCCATCTGAGTGGAGGAACTCTCGGGGACCAGGTCATCGAATGCTTCTGAGCTTAGAGCGCATAGGCTGGAAGGTGATTAGCTTTAGTAGGTGGCAAGATGATAGGGGCAACGTTGTGGATTTACTGTATCACAGCCCAGCCATGATTGATAGCCTGTTGCAGTCAGGAGTTCAGAGATCCCATGAGAGGCGATTGGCGGCGAGTCTTCCCTCGTTCGATGGCGTGCGTGCGTGTGGACCCTCTCCGCTCCCTCCTTCGTTCGAAGCGAACCCCGCCGCGAACAAAGTACTGGATCTGCTGCTGTTTTGTTTTTTTTTCAAATGGCTGCTGGACGGCAGACCGTTTGCAAGAGTCGGGTTATATTTCAGATGGACGTTGTCCCAAGTGCGGCCAACCTGACTCGATTTTCCACCGCCAGTGGTTATGTGAAGACCCAGAGGCATCAACGGCCCGCAGCGAAGCTGTTGAACCTCATCTGATTGAGGCTGCCCGTAGTTGCCAGCCCTCTGAGCGATTGTTTTGGTCTCGATTGATAATGGCTCAGCCCGATGCGGACTCCTTTCCCCCCTCGGTGGCCTCGGACCCCCTCCTCCAGGATGCGAATGGGCAGCCATTGTCTCTCGATGAGTTTGTTGAACGGAGTGAAAGCTGCGATCTAGTGGTCGACGGCTCGGCTACCCAGTATCCGATTCTTGAGCTCAACCGCGCTGCTTTCGCGGGGGTCTATTTGGAACCTGGGGACGTTTACCAGGTTCGGACCCGCTTCATGGCCACCGTGTGGCCAGTGTTGCACCAGACGCCCCGGGCTGCTGAAAATTTGGGCCTGGCCACTGCGTGTGCGTTTAATTCGGGCGTGACTTCCCCTTTCAGTGGTTGTAAAGGGGCCGTGCGGTTGCATAACCTCTCGGACGAGGCGCAGCTTTGCCCGCGTGAAATGTGTGCTGGCTTTCGACGTGCCGCGCAGCAGTCGCCTGGATTCGATGCCCTGGGGGAGGCCCAGCATACGCCCGCCCATAGGTCGGATGCTATTATACAGGCCCTTCCCCCAGACCAGAAGCGAATAGTTTTAGCCAACCAGGATGCTGACTGCCTGGCTAAGTATGCCCTCTCGCTTCATCCTCAGCCTGCATCTGCTGATCTGGAGATGCTAGATAGGCAGGTGCAGGCCCTTCGAGCATGCGCGCTAATGCTCGGGAAGGTGCTCTCTCTTTTTCCTAAGCTGCACTTTGAGCGACACCCGAAAGAGAAGAGGTTGCCTAGAGTCCCTCCCCCGCCTGACTGGCATGAGTGGGATGCGCTCAGTGGCGATCGACCTGCTTTCAGATGCAAGAAATGTTTCAGGATTTCGTTCGAGGGCGAGTCCCGCCCGATGAATGGTTGTGGGGGTTTGTCCACAGCACTGAGACGCCTCCAGGGTGCTGAGACCGAGCGGCAACATAAGCTGGGCTTTGCCATCCTGCACAAGACCCAGAGGCCGTTGTTTTTCTGTTTTGCCTGCGGTGCTTACACCAGCAGGCGATGTTACTTGCTAGGTCAGACCTGCGTCAAGAAGCTGAGCACTGATGGTGAACAGGTGCTCACACGACTGCAGGCTGGCCTCCACCCTCATTACAGAAAGAATACTGAGGGTGATGACTCGCTGGCGCCTGCTCGAGCGCCGTCGAAGTCGGTGCTTCTTGCCCCTCCTGGCACTCTCGCTGCGGGGTCGTCTCGCTTGGTCGGTTCCGACCGCTTGCGAGCGCTCGCAGCCCGTATTCAGGCCAAGGAGGAGGCATCCAGGCGCTAGCTGCTGCCTGAAGCTGACGTTCTGCCGCAAGGTCGTCCCGTCATCATCACCTCTTGCCTTCTTCCAGCCTCCGCCTTCTCATCCTACGTAGCCTCGTTCTTATCCTCATCCGCATGTGCCTACAGACCTCTGTAGATTTATAAACCTATAAGATGAAGCCGGGATCGGGGCTAAATTTGACCGGGATAAAAATCATGCTCGGTTTTTCAAATCACCGGGGGCGCCGCCGAACGGGCCTGCCACGCCTTGGACGCCATCGGCTTCGCGAGGGAAGAAAAGCGCCCCGGCGCGGATGAAGCCACGGCGCGTATTTGGCCACGCGCACGACCGAGGGAATTCAGCGCCAAGCGCCTTTCACTCCAGAAGGCCCGACGTCAACAAAACAAACTTGAGGCCCAAAGGGGGCCCCAAGGAGGCGGACCGCCAAAACAATCACGCAACCAACGCAACGAAAAAAACACAAAAATGTCAAAAATCGCGTTACTCGGTGACCTCTTCGGCCATGCAACACCGCGATAATGCCCAAGACGGCATTGGAACAAAAAGTCACGCGCGCGGCCACGCGACTTCCCCGCGCCGCCCCAAAGTTCCCGAAACGCGCCGAAATAACCGTAGAGAACACCCCGGAAAGTCTTTGGAACATCCCCGCGCCATGCAAGATCCGCCACCGAACAATCTCGCGGACACCTAGCGCGTGCGCGCGGGCGTCCACCATGGATGCCCAACTCCGGCTTCCGAGACAATCGCGCGCAACCGCCTGGGGGCCTCGGCAACCTCGCAATTGGCCCAGGGGCCCGCGGGCCCCAGGGAATCGAAGACCGAGTTCGCAACTCCGGAAGCATCGGGCGCGGCGCCAACCAGTCGCTCGTCTCTGGCTGACAGTAGGACGCCTGGAGACTCGGTAACATCTAAGAAAACCGCTTTTCAGAGATTCACAGAACCAGAAAGCGGGGCGCGCCAAATTCTCGCGTCCGAACTTCTCTGAGAATCTCTGAAAATCTCTGAACTAGCCACCCCGCGTGAAACATTCCCATAAACCCAAAACCTCGGAGCTGGCCGAAACTCTCTGAGAGTTTTTCGGCCCGCGAAATTTGGCGCGCCCGGATTTCTGGTTCCGAGATCCTCTGAAATCGCGCTGCGGCGGCGCCCAGCAGGTCCTCGCGCGCCCAGGGTGGGGGCCGTGGACATCGCGGGCCGCGATGGTCCCGACCGCGAGGTCCTTCCTCCTGCCCCTCGACGAGTCCACGCTCATGGACACGCTCTCTGCGCTGAGCGTGGAGCGCGCCATCCGCCGGTACTTCTGCGCGACGACAGCCAACTGGCCGCCGACGGACAAGGCGATTTTTCTCCGAGCTGCGCGTGCCACCGAAAACGTACAATAGCCCCGGGCTCGGGGAGAAACACTTTCGAAGCATTTCCAGGCCGCCAGCGTCGTGGCTGCCGACCCGCCGCGCGCCGACCGAGAGACTAGCTGGTCCACTACGTCCACGGCGGCGAGCGGGCGCCCAAGAGAGCTGTCGCCACGGTGCGCGCGGCGGGGCGCCCGCCCAACTGCAACCGCAAATGCGGCCTCCATGGCGCCACAGGCGTAATATGTGTGACGCATTCTCGGACCCCTCATCAGCGTATTGGCCAGCGCCCAAGTCCCTGAAACGCAAACCTACTGTGCCCCCCGTGCAAGCCACGCACCCGCTCACAGTGCTCGTGCACACCAGATTTTCTGCCCGCCCTCAACAGTTTAATTGAGCGCCCATGTGTTACGTGGGCTCCGCAAGCCCTCGAACACTCTTTGGGAACTTCTGCGAATGCGCGCGCTACGCTCCACAAATCGGCGTTCTATTTTTCTCTGGGACTCTCCCAGAATCTCTGGTTCCGATTTGTCCCGATCTCCCGCTCAACTGAACCTAGCGATAGATGGGTACATATATACATATACAGATATATACGTCTATATTCGTGCATGTCTGCGCACGTATACATATATATATATATACACACACATCTGGCTCCCCCTCATCCTAACATATCCTACTCAGCCCTGTCCTCCTGCGCAACGTCAGCCTGATTCGCCAGCAATTCCTCCGTCCATATGTCATACACCTATTATCCCCTCCCTCTCTCTCTTCCTCTCTTCCTCCCTTCCCCACCCTGTCCGGCTCCAACCGTTCCTCCTTCTCCTCCTCCTCCTCCTCCTCCTCCTCCTCCTCCTCCTCCTCCTCCTGGGCCGACACCTTGCGGTAGACTTTGGGAGGCTGGTATGGGATCGTGGTCACCAGCTGTGTCGGGCTGGAGATGCTGTTGAGGAACCTGTGAGGCGAAAAAACCGAAGGCACTTCTCCCGACTCTTCGCCTTTTCCATCAACTTCCCCTCGTGTCCCCCATCCTCCTCCTACTTCTGCTACTGCAACTGTTGGTACTGCGACTACCCACCACTCATAATTACCCAAAGTCTAATCCCGCTCGTCCTCCTCATCGTCCTCGTCCTTCTCGATCGCCTCTGTCTGCTTCTTCGCTTGCCTCATGCTATTCCGCGTCACTGCTTCTCGTACCAGAAACTATATGTTGGAAGGATTCAGGATTACGCAGGTGGAACAATTTTCGGTGTTGAAGTCCCAAAAATGGCGTTCGGGCAAGATTCCGGATCGTCAAGTCGCACCAGTCAGGCTGATCCGTGGCGTTGAAATCCCGAGAACACTGTTACGGCATGCTTCAGGGTCTTCCCTCAATGAAATTGAACCGTTGTAAGGGGCATATGAAGAGGGAGCTTGGTGGGAGGGTTAATTCCAACATCATTGATGCATCTTTCGTTTACACTGGTCCTCCTCCTCCTCATCATCATCATTATCATCACCGCTGTTCATTTCCTTTCCTTGCCCCTCCATATCCTTCCCCATTCCCCTCCGTCCCCCAATTGCCCGTGAGGGTGGAGAAAACAGGAGATGTGGAAGGGGGGAGGGCGGAGGTGACGAGAAGGAGAGAAGGATGACTACTAGTCCGCTGTCTGCCCCCCTTCGCGTCGTCACTCCTTTCACCTCCCCCTTCCTCTCTCCCCCTTGTTCCACGTCCTCGCACTTCCCCAAAACGAAGCCCCCACCCGTCCCCTGCTCCTCCTCCTCCGCATCATCCATCTTCTCCACCCATTTTGGTCCGCTTCTCCTATACCATCTCCTCTCTCCCACATCCTCGAACATCTATCCTGTCTCCTCCCCACGGTGGCGTGCTCATTGTCAGTGCTGCCCCTTCATTTCGCACGACAATGTCCCAATCCTGACCCGCTCTATCCGCTCATGGTTCTGAGGACCCGAAAAAGTGGGATGACCATGGTGCTGTCCCCCCAAACATCTCCCACGCCGTTTCGGAGTGTGCTATCGTTTCGGATCCTGCCGCACCCCTGCGCGCTGTACGACGATGGCGCCTTGGCTCTACGACGACGACAACGACGACCACGTCATGATACGACAACAGACTGGCCCGGATCCGCCCAATACTTGGAATGCTCAACCCACTCATGATGAAGACAATTTCCCTCCTCCCCCACACGACGCCCGTCATGACCCAAAGGCCGGCCAACAAAAAACCGCTTTGCACCGTGCCGGGCCGACTGGTCGCGGTAACGGCACCGGGCCGCTCCGCAGTTGGTTCGGCAACCGCACTGGCCGCCGACGTCGTAACCCCCTCTTCGGCACCCCTGGACAATTCCGGGGAATCCCGACCCCGTCCAGACCTTCAGACGTAGCACAGACCGTCCTCCCCCTTGATAGACCCACTATAACAAAATACATGAATACGCTCAATGCGCAGTCATGAAAAAAACAGTGGCTGCAGGACAATATACAAACCAGATTAGCTCCAAGAGCTCGCCCAGCGATGAACATCCGCCAGGTTACAGGTGATCAGCGCCTTTTGTTAGAAATTGCCCAGTATGGCTTCTCAACCTTCCTGAAGACAAATTGACACGCAATCTGAGCATAGAGATGTCGCAGCCGCAAAACAAACTGAATGTCCACACGCCCTCGGATGTGCCGCTGCGCCACGCCAGCCGCATACTCCGAGTAAATACTTGCTGACGAACGAATCGGTGGTGAGTGAGAGCAGGAGGACGTTTTACTCGACCCAACACATAACAAAATAGAACGCACATGACTCGCAAACGTTGCTCATATGGAATTTGAGCACCGATAGATGCCAGCTGATCGAAATCGAAACTGATGTGGCCGCGAGCATCCAGTAAACCGGTCGAAGCCAGCATGGCCGCGGTGACGCCCCAGCCAGATGCCGCCTCCTCAGCAGATTGCTGCCAGGAGCAGGATAATGCGATCACCTCCGGTTCCATGAACAAACCAAGAACAAATTGAAGAAAACGTGTAACCCTCAAATTGCTCCTCGCACCGGGCGCACGCAAACGCAACCTGTTCTGTTCTTGCAGAGAACGATAGAGGAGTGCGGACGTTAATGCATGTGCATGCCCTGTTTGGGAAAGCGTACGAAGCGACGAAATATTATGTTCCGTGGCATAGAAAGGGATGTGTGCCCCGCTGGTGGAGCAGAGCATTGGAGTCTATGGGCCACGCAGCAAGATGGGTGACTCCTTTCGCGGAGCTTCGCCGCGATCATGTTTATGTTGCTTTCAAAAGACCCAATGGTGTTCACGGCGCGGAGCTGTGTCGAAGTCGCGTTCGACCCACGAAACGCGGTGTAATCAAGCGTTGGCAACGAAGGCGGGTTGACCACGAAATGACCCCTGGAACGACTTTCCTCACAGACGCCTCGTGAGGGGGTCGAACGGTGACACACCAGCGCGTCATGACATCCACCATCAAGGCGAAAGTCCTGGGATGCTACGCGACCCAATAAGCGTGCGGAGGGCCAACCGTCCATGGACCAGTGCTGGATTAGGACGCCATGGCGCACATCCTTGGCGCACCAGGCGCACCAGCGTGTCATGACATCGATGCGCCACACCAGCGCGCCATGACAACTATCACCATGAGCATGTTCCTGCGACAACACATTAGTGGATGCACGTGCGGGCGGCCAGTGTCCCATGCGTACCCACCGCTCTGTCGCACCAGCGCGTCATTGCATTTATATTCGCGATGATGACCCTGCTAGGACGACACACGCATAACGTGAAATCGTTGGGGGCGCACAAGTCGCTAGCGTGCGTTGATACCTCTTGCTTCTTTGGGCAGAGGCCGAAGGGGTCGCGCGCTTAGTGGGGGAAGAAGGCGCTTGTAGTTCAGGCAAAATGCTGCTCGAACCAGACGCAGTGTTTTCTCGCTGCGGCACCGAAAAAGGAGATGTCCACGAAATCGCCCTCATAATGGTTTCCCGCCAAACGAGGTTTTGACGGAGCCGAACGGTCTTACACCATCCCTGGGGTCGGTGCTGAATGGAGATTGCATGGTGCGTACTATCGGCAGCCGAATTTGTCATGGGATCGGTGTGCCACACCAACGCATCATGGCACCCATCATCATGACGACGGTCCTGCGATGATGCACGAGTGACTACACATACGGAGGGCCAGCCTGCCATGACACTGGCGTGCCACACAAGAGTGTCATGACACACTCATCATTATGATGATGGGGATGATGATGATGATGATGATGATGATGATGATGATGATGATGATGATGATGATGATGATGGTCTTGAGACGAAACATGACTGGCGCCACGTGCGGAAAACCATCGTTCCATGCGTATGATGATCGATGTGCCACACCAGAGTCTCAGGACGTTCATCATCAAGATGTCCTGCTTCGACGACACACGCAAAACCTGCAATGGCAACATCTGGGGCGCATAAGTCAGCGGCGTCCGTTGATACCTTTTGCCTTGGGCAGAAGCCAAGCGGAACGCGCATGCGTGTGCCGGGAGCCTTGCTCCTCCTCCTCTTCCTCCTCCTCCTCCGCTTCCTGGGCCCTGCCCTCCAGCGCGTCGTATGATGCGACGAAGGGAGGGAAGGGCGACGCGTAGATGTCGTCGATTGGGCGCGCCGAGGGCTGATCCAAGTCCAGGAGGACTGGCTTGCCAGCGCGCTGAGACGCTATGGCCAGAGTGGCAGAAGCATTGAAACGTAGCAGATACTGAGGAACACAAGCAGCATGGTGAAGGGTAAGACCAGCAAGGATTCGCTACAACGGGCAAGGCAAGGAGGAAGCCCGACGGGAAATGTGTTTCCAAGAGCCAGTCGGTCTTGCCATGCCCGTGCTTCCAAGACAGTTCCATGAGTTGATCTTCGGTGGCTTCGAATGTCGTCGTTGTGCTTCGCTGCGTGCGAGGGTTAAACGAAAAGAAAATCACGTAGGTCATGAAACTTGGCTTCCACCCGAGCACGTTTGTGGAGACTTGGGACAGCATCCCGGCCAGCATCGGCAAAGTGTTCAGGACGGATGGTGAAGGCGTAACTGCGCGACCCAGCCTTGAAAACTGCGGCGGAATACCACTCGATCTGAAATGTCGAACTCGCCGCGGATAGCAGCGTGAAGAGCCCGAAACTGATCCGGCTGCGGTGTGCCCAGAGAAACTGCCATCCCGCTGGTTAAAGAATCCCTGCCAGGAGGACACGGAAGGATAGCAAGACACTGCTATACATGGCGCATCCCAAGGAGTCCCGAATCCCGCCTGACTGCTAAACATCATCTTCCTTGGGGTAGGAGTATGGGACCTGCTCTAAAACAAGAACGTACCGCAGACGGATTTGATCTCTCTCCGACCTTGAACTGCACCGAAGGCAATAGCCGCAATGTCTATAGACGTATCCACACCAAACGTGTCTATATGCGTAACGACACACGATGTGTCTATAGACGCTTGTGACCAGAAAATGACAGGGTATGTGTTGCAGGCCCGAGATGGGTCTGCGAGAAGCAAGTAGAATTTGCTCCCTAAAACTTGTTCCGTTTGGGGCTACGTTAGAAATTCGCGGCCCAAGGCCATACTTCGCGGCGCGCCTGGCAATCCCCAGGCACGCTGGGAAGGTCAGCGGAGGCCTCGCCAGCAAAATGCCTCCGAGGCACTCCCCTCCAAGATCCCCCCTGAACCTCCCCTGTGTACTTGGTTTTCCCCTGAATATGGGAGGGCAACGGATGAGGGTATGGGACTAGAGCGCTAGCGGCTTCACGCGGTCCTGCTAACACGCAAATGCTTTCTCTGCGTGGTCCTGCAACCGTGCCAGACCGACCGGCTCCGCCGGCAGCAACCATACCAGGCAGACCGTTCTGGCGTCGTGATGACTGCGCGTTGACTGCTGGCACTAGGTCGGGCCTGTCCCCCTAAAGGTGGATGTTGGGCGAAAAA